TTTTTAAAAAAAGAATTAAACTCCTTTTAAGGTTTACTGGACTGGATCATGTTCTCAGTTTGTATTGATGAGTAAGGAATCGACTGTTTCTTTGAAAGTACATTTTGTAAAAAAAAAAAAAAAAAAAGCATATTTTGTTTTTTCTTAATTTTAGTTAATGTGTCTATCTGGGAAAGAACAAATTTGGTCAAGAAAGCAAATGGTATTTTGTTTTGGAGAGAGCGGATGTAGAATTTTCTGATGGCATTTGGCTTTGTTTTTAGGTCTTAATTTTGCTTTGGAGCAGATAAGGCAACCAGTGTGTGTGTTTTTTTTTTTTTTTTTAAAGCAGAACTGCATTTGTCTTTGTTCCATTAAAACCCTTCTAGATACTTTGGATTCATTTAAGCTTATCTGTAGTTAGATACATCCCCGTTCTGTTTACAAACTGTTAGGTTGAGGTTAATGTTCACTTGCAAATAAAATATTGGGAATTGTTTTAGGAATGACAAAAATGGAGATGTCTTGGTCCTTTTAGTAAAATGAAAAATACATATACAGCGCTTTACTTTGGAATGAAACATGCATTGGCATATTTGATCCCTCACGCTATAAGGTGCTCAAGTATCACGGAAGCAACCACGTCTGGAGAAGGGGAGTTTACTTGGTTTTTGCTTGCTTAATGTTTGTCGTCTGCCCGTTAAAAGCTTTGTGTGCCTTAACATGAGAAAAGCTGAGAGCTTTTAAAAGCTTGTTAAGGTACCAGAATGCTAGTTTTGGTGCTAAAAATAATTTTTCTATATAAAATAACTAGTTTAATTTTAAACCAATTAAACTTCTTGCACTTTTTTTTTTAATTCAAACTTGTTTTTGGACAGAAAATCCTCAATATCCTCATGTGGGAGAAGTAATTGATGGAATAGACATGAGAGCGGAAGTTGGAGTCCTTACAAGGAACATCTTAATCAAGGGAGAAACAGAAAATACGTGCTATCGTGAAAAGGAGTGTCAGTTTTTCAATTATGATACGTTTGGTGGACATATCAAGGTAAGAAAAACACTCTTAAAGTAGCTTTCTGTAGCGTAAAGACGTATCGAGGACAAAAGGATTGCTGCTAAACTGGGAGGGATTTGAAAATTTGAAGAACGTCAATTCATATAGTTACTTTGCCTGAAAGACTGTCTTCTCAGCTTTCCCGAAGTTAGATATAACTCACCACACCTTGAACTGTAGAACTGCGGCAAGAGGGTATCAGTGCTTTGAATGCTGGAGAAGCATACTTTATACGTTGCAACTTTGTATGGCAGTGTTTAAAACTTAGAAGTGACTTCCCTGCCTGTTCAGCATGTAAACTTGAATAAAACTTGATTTGCCTTTTCTCCATCTTCTTTCCTTTTCCTCCTTTCCTTCTTCCCCAAATCATGAGCATTGAATTCTAGAAGTCTGCCTCATCTCCTTAACATGCCTCAAGAAGTCAGGCACTGGAAAGGAAAGAGACTGCATATGGGTTGTACTGTTTTTTTTTTTTTTTTTGTACTAAGTACTAAGATTATTGCACAGAAGTATATCAGCTCTGCATACACGGTGGAAAAGTTTGAGACTTTATATTTTAAATACCAATTTATTTGTGGTGTTATGTGTTGATCACAGTTTAAATCTCCCTTTTTGAAACGTTGAGATGCAGATCTTAGATTTATAGCGGCGGACATAATGCTGGGAAAGCCCTTTCCCCTTTGTGGCTGCTTTTGTTTTGTGGAAGCGGAAGCAGAGTGGGCTGTAAGCATGCTTTTGTGTCTGAGATAATGTAATGAAAGTAGTTAAGGACAAGCTGTGAATCTGACTTTGGTTACCACAATAGGGTGCGTAGGGCAGGCCTGTCAGATGTTCTGTCAGAAGATAGAACAGAAAACAAACGTTTTGCGTCATGGAAGTTGGTAAATTGTTCCCCTTATTGTTGGGTGTCTGTTGCAGAACCTAAACTTTAGCACTGAAGGCATTTTTTTAGCTTTTCTTAATCTTTTGTGCTCGAGCAGAGAAAGCTAGGCATTAGCAAATACTCGTGGCCTCAGGGGTTTTAATCAGCCTGCGATTTCTACTGGTCGTGGGGACAGTAGCATAAAGGAGGTTTAGGGCAGTGGGTAATGAGGCATTAGTTTGTACCTTTACTGCTTCTTTAGTGTTCTTAAATGTTAAGAGTCAGATCTTGAAGGAATGTCTGCATTTAACCATCCATCTGCATTTTAAGCACAGGAACCTGAACTGTGAGATTAAAAACCTCAAATGGTCCTCCACTGTATTGCCAACTTCTCAGCTGTTTGTATGAAAACGATTGTATTTGTTAAATATCTAGTACTGATAAGTTAATACCAAAAAAAGGTTTTTTTTTTTTTCTTCAGTTTAGCTCCTTTGGATTTGCTGCCTGTGTATCACTATTGCATTTGTTTTCTCTTTTCATATTAGGTTAGATGGAGTAAAAAAGCGTATTTGTGCTTTCCTCCATTATTGGTACAGCCCCATTATCTTAATGTCTCCAGTGCTTAATTTCTTTGCTTTCTGTTGGTAGCTTTACTGTGCATAATTTGGAAGGCAATTTTGTATCTTTCTTAACAAAGAAGTTCCTCTTTGAGGTGCATTTCCAGCATCCATTTGAAGCAATGTAAATATGAGTTATCACTGAAAAGGAGGCAGTGGTAGTGCAGGGGCTGGTGGAAGGCAGTATCATCTCTTATCGCTGACGACCCCCACGTCTATTGATTTAAAGTGTGTGTGAAATTGCAGCTTAGAATATGGGCTTTTTTTTTTTTTTTAATTGTGTGGAAGCTGGGTAGTTCTCTGGTTTGGTATGTGAGGCAATTTTGATGAAGAGTTCTTATTTCTCTCTCAGTTCGGTGCTAAAAGATGTCTTTCATGAGCTCTAATTTAAAAGAGTGTCCATATCAGCAGTAATGGTGTTACCGCAGAAGGAGAGCTGTTTGTTAATTCTGGCGTTTCCAGTTTCTCTGCTCTAGTATCAATACTTGGCTGCTGGGTGGAAAATCAGGTAAGGCGTTGGGCTCAATAGGTTGTGTTCGGCAGTACCAAGTCCAGCTGGTAGCTAGCTCCTAGCGGTGTCACTCAGGCCTCAGCTGTGAGGCGACTGCTGTTTAACATCGTTATTTAAACAGTCTGAAAAATGGGACAGAGTGTGTCCTATGAAGCTCACAGGTGATTCTTAATTGGGAGAAGCAGTTGGTCCGTTGTGAGGTGCTGCTATTCAGAGGGGCCTCTGTAGGCTGGAGGAGAGGAGTCAAGGGAACCTCATGAAGTTCACAAAAGGCAAGTGAGAAGTCCTGCATCTGGGGTGGAGTAACACCATGTGATGGCGTGGGCAGGGTGCTGACTGACTGGAGAGCAGCTTTGTCTACTAGGACCTTTTTGCAAGAAGTTGACCATAAGGCAGCAACACGCCCCTGTGGCAAAGGCCAGCAGCATCTTGGCCAACAGCCAGCAACGTGCTGCGCTGTGTTAGCACAAGAGTAGCCAGCAGATCCAGGGAAGAGTTCTTCTCCTCTGTTTGGCATTTGCCAGGCCGCATCTGGAGTGTTGTGTCTGGTTTTGGGCTCCCCAGCACAAAGACGACATGGATATGCTTTGTGAAGATGCACTGTGATTGGGCAAGAGGCAACTGGAACCAAGGGGCAGCAAGGCAAACTCTGGTTAGATATTAGGAAAACAAGAGGGAGGAACCGGTTGCTGTCCTATGGATGTATCGTTAGAGGTTTTCCTTGGACAATGTACTGGGCAGCTTTTCTAAGCTGACCCTGCGTTGGGCCAGCGAGAGAACCGGATGATCTTGAGAGGTTCCTTTGAACCTGTGTTGTTCTGTGATTCTGTTCAACTGAGCTTGTGCTGGACGTCGGTACAGCTTCATGGTGGATGAGCCCTATGTGGGCGACTTCTGTTTATCTAGATGGAATGTGGCTGTACGTGAAGAATATTTAACGTGTCAGCTAGTAAAGACTAAGCAATATAATGTAGCAATATAATTTCAGGTGAATTTATTTTAGCTGTATGTAGATTTTGCTTTTATTCATGAGGAATGTTGTTTCATGAAATGGGATCTAGAACAAGAAAGGTCAGTTCCAACTAACCTTTCTGATGTTGTCTCATGATACCTGTGCAGAAAGGTTTATCTGGCAGAAATAGCTGATGCATTAGCTTAAATTTCCACTGGTTAAAAAGCAAATAGTTTGTTACTCATTCTGGACATCTCGTTATGTTTTTAGATTCTGAAGAATTTTACATCTGTTCATCTCTCCTACGTGGAGCTGAAGCAAATGGGGCAGCAGCAGATTGGAAGTTACCCTGTGCATTTTCACCTATGCGGGGATGTGGATGAAAAAGGAGGTTATAGTTTTAAGACTTATCTGGAAGGTCTTTCCATTCATCACTGCTTCTCCAGATGTGTGACTGTTCATGCAACTAATGGCTTGCTGGTAGGTGCCAGGACAGTAAAACTATACTGTGTTGAAATAAATGTTAAAACCATTTAGAGCAAAAATAGTCCCCTTCCTTCATCAAGGTTAAATGCTCAGCAGCATGTTTTTTACGGCAATGAATAAACAAACAGGTGCAGACAGTCACTTACTTTATAACAGATCTTGCCATTCTGTTTTTTTCAGATCCTTGCAGGCAGCTAAGCTCTCCAGGCGTAGTAGTGTGTTTGTAAGAGATAAATAAAACTTCATGTTTGAATCATCTGAACTGCTGATCCTGAAGCTTCATTTCCAGCTGTGCCAACATAGTAAAACTAAATGGCCCTTGTCAAATAAATCCCAGTCAATGCTATTGCTAATGACATAATGAACTTGTATTTCTGCAGATAAAGGACACCATTGGCTATGACACACTAGGTCACTGTTTCTTCATAGAAGATGGCATTGAACAGAGGAATACTCTGTTCCACAACCTTGGACTAGTCACCAAACCAGGCACTCTTCTTCCTACAGATAGAAACAGCACCATGTGTATTGGCATTAGGGATAAAGTGTATGGAAGTTATGTCCCAGTGCCAGCCACAGACTGCATGTGAGTATTTCATGGTGAAAAAGCAAAAACGAACTTGTTGCAATAGTTAAAATGCTGAGGGTCTCCTGACAGTATAGAGAGGAGAACATTTTTATGTGTAAGCTAATGAATGCAGAGACCTTAAATGTAATTCACATAGCAGCACTGTTTAGAAAAAGAATTGGTATCTAGCCTTTTATTGAAGACAAAAAAAAATTTACTTTGTAGAAAAATTGTTATTTCTTGTGGTATATGTTCAAAAAACTTTTAAGATCGCAACTTTATTTCTGTGCAAAGGCCCCCACATTCTCAAATTGTTGCCACTAGTTTTTATTCATAGCAATAACTTATTGTAGAAGCTTACTAAAACAGTTTATCATTGCACTGAGTATTTGAAATGTTTTAAAATACTGTGCATCAAACTAAAAAAGAGGCATTTTCGTGACTACTTAAATGTGAGGTTTTGTGGGTTTTTTTTTCTTTCATATTTAAACTAGTGAATTTAGGCATCAGATTAGCATTTTCTAGCCTACTTGTTATGACAGATAAGAGATTTCTGTAAGGAACATAGAGCTTCTGAATAATAGCTTGTTTCTGAATAATATTTCAGGGCGGTTTCAACGTTCTGGATTTCTCATCCCAACAATCATCTCATAAATAATGCAGCAGCAGGTTCACAGGTGAGGCATATGGATGTACTTCAGCGCAAACTACTCATTGCCCTGATGTTCACAAAATGTGTGCAGCATTACTCTGTTTAAAAAAAAAAAAAAACACGCATACAGATTTCCTTTTTTGCATATGAATCTCTTAGCATGTTTGGCAGCAGCTGGGCATTACAAATGCAAATTTTGTCTAAAGGTGCGTTTAGGAGATGCCACCTTTGTTCTGGTGGAAGAGGGAAGATTTCTTCCTTGCTGTAGTTTCTAGTCCCTGTAATAGTGTGTGCGTGTGTATTTATGTATATATCCTTTGACTCCCAAGGAGTTAGTGCCCTGCATTTTAACTTTAACGCTTCTGTGTCTTTTGTGATTTCTGTCATGATTCTATTGTTTGACTGTTTTTCAGGATTTATAGCTTTATTCATTGCACTGAAAAGTTGTTCATTATACAGGAAACAGCATAGCTAAGTTACCTTTTTTCCCCCCGACTTTGTTATTAGTCATTTGTTTCTCAGCAGTGATTGGTAGATGTATTTCTTACCTGTTGTGAATCCTACAATATTGCCTGTCTTATGTCACGGTACAGGTTGTGGAGCAGGGGCTAGAGTCTGTTTAGCTTTTAAATTGGATAAGAGCCTAATACGTGCGTTCTTTTGAGTGGATTGTTTTGAAGACATCAGTGGGAATAGAATAAAGGAAGGACTTCTTAACGCAAGGACTCCAATACTGAAAGTAGAATATATATGTCAGTGCATTATTATGACTTAGGCATAAAATACGTTAAAAAATTGATTTAATGGAACAGTATTTGAAGTACTGAAAGGAGTTGAAATATCTGTAGTGTAAAAAACTTACAAAATTTGTGTTCCGTTTCTCGCATGTTCTTTTTTTCTCTGGAGAAACATTTTTCTTGTTAGCAGCCTACTCTTAGGAAGGATCTGGGCAAACTTGCTGCATGAAACCATTCTTCTGTTTCCTACTCAGCATCTATCTGTTTTGTTGGCTTTATGTACTGTTCCTTTACCTGTTTTCAGTGTTGCAGGCCAAGTTACAGGAAACAGCTTTTATGCATCTGGTGCCTAAAATTTGCAAGGTCTTTTTTGCATCTGCAGTGTATCCCAGAGAATGACACTTCCTTTTGTTATCCTGGTGTGTATTATCAGAGCAAGCATTTGTATATGGCACAAAGTTTAGTGGCTCTGATATGCACGCACGTTAAGTCTGCAAACCTATGGACGTAGTCACTTCAGGATAAAAGGGCTACAGCTTGTTATGTTTCAGAAACAAAATATTCAAGCTGTTGCTATAAATTATAGTATAGAGCTTTTGCTGGCGTAAATTGTAAAAATTCACAAGCAAATAAAAGAACACCACTGCCTTCTCCCTTATTACACAGTGAAGTCTGTTGTAAGGCTGTATCAGCAAAAGATGCCTTTCTTTTGTTTGGGCTGTATAGGAGAGATACACTTGTGTTTCTTAAAAATAGCCTTATCATCTTTCTGAATACCTGTAAGTGCTTAAGGAGTTTTTAAGTTTCCTTATTAACGGTTTTTTCTAAGCAGCAAGATGTGTTTTGGGTAAAAATTACTTGCTTTTGCCAAGCATGGAACTATATTTGATTATATGTGAGGTAAGGTTTTGGTATTTTACTAATGAAACATCCACATTTGCTCAGCATTGTTAATCATCAGAAGTGCGGAGCTGTGTCATCGTTAGGGATGGGAATACTTTACTGAGAAACAGTTTCCAGGGCTGCTGGAAAATTAAGTATGTTCTGTCAGAGTGAAACTTGTGAATTCTTTAAGCCAGATATTTCTTGGAACAGTTTCTTGATATTTCTTGATATTTCTTGGAACAGTAAGGAGGATGAAAACTTTTTTCCTTTCAAAATACAGAGCACTTGATAGGCAGTAATTCTCTGGCTACTGTTTAACCTTTTAATGCTTTTTATGCTTTTTTTTCTTTTTTTTTTTTTTTAATTTTATAAGAGTGCAGAGCATGTGGCCGTGCAAGATTTCTTTTTTTCAGACTTGTAAGTGTTTACTATTCTAGTGCAGTCCCTATGCCGCCTCTTGTGAGCCCAAGTGTGGTAAGAAGAGGTGCTTTTATGGGTCTATCTTGCCAGATAAATCGAGGCTCTTTAAGAGCAGGGGTGTTGAGGAAGTAGAGAAAATGAACTGAAGCTGAAAT